TCGATAAAATTTCATTTTTCACGTGGTTTGGCTACGCTGCAGCTATATTATAGTTGTAGCAGGAATGGGTTGGCTCGATTGGGGCAAGAACATGCTCTCACAGAATACCAGCTTAATGTTGCTGTTTCGTATGGTGAGTGTCTACACCCAGTAAAAAGATTTCCGGTTCTCTAAACCGGAAATCTTTTTACTAGAATTGAGGCATTCCATCTTAGTCCTCAGGGATAACAACGCATTTGCATTTTGATCCTTAGTTGATGATTATGTCTATGGGCCACAGCATCCACTTATTATCAGATGGAATGTGTGCTCTTTTATCACCCAATGCTAAAACAAGAAAAAAACTTTGTTAGTGACTGCCACTGGTTCAGAAAGTGGTCACGCATGATGGCTTTGCTTTCTTAGCCTTACTTCAACAAATAAATAATGTGAAAAAAATTATCGAATTATTACAAATTATTATCAACGAATAGAAAGTTCGCTTTGCTAGATGCAACAATTGTTTTATTTATACAACGTTTATTACGTTTCTTTATGTACACCGTATATATATATATATATATATATATATATATATATATATATATATATATATTAGACTTGGGCCGATTAGCCGATTAGCCCAGCCGATGATAAATTCAAATGATGGAAAAAAATTTCTTTCAGATATTCAGAAATGTCCCGTTTAGTCAAAGCTTCCCCCCCCCCCCGTCAGTTCTGTGTATCGTGAGAATTTTTTTTGAGGCAGGGAATATCTAATATCTACGAAACAAAAAGAAATCGACTTCAACCGGAAAATGCTGACATTTTGGCCTTTTGCATCACAATTTGCCACTGGTTAAAAATAACAAATAAATATAATATTTTCTAAAAAGCCTTCAATACTTTTCAAATTGAGTATTACTTTTTAACAAATTATTAAATGATTATAGATTCTTTATTTAATAACATTACAGGAAAAACAATTTATTGCAATTTTAAGTACATAAAAATAACAATTTGATTTAATTTTTAGTACAAAAACAATAACAATTTAGTTTTAAGTACAGAAACAAATATGTTCTATTTGTCTTTTAAAAATCTACATGCGTGTAGTTTAGCAAATTTAATTCAAGAATTAAGTTTGCATTTGTTATTTATGCAAAGGGAGAGACTTAAAAGTTTATTAGGAATAATATTATTAATATTTTATGTTGTTGTGTCACTACTCTGCATTACGATTAGAAAAAGTTAAAACATAGAATTAAAATAGTAATTACTTAGGTTTTTGTTTAGATTTAAATAGCTACCTCAGATTCTTTTATACCAAAGTTACTATGTGCAGAATAATTAACATTAAAACACGTGAGACTGATTTTTCAGTAAAAGTTATGTATGAACCTACTTATTTTATTATTTATTTGATTTACTTTCATATAAATCTTTTTTTTTTCTTTAGCTGATGCGTTTTAGCCGATTAATCGCCGACTAAGCGGTGACTACAAATAGGCCGATTTCGGCTTCAACGATTAGTCGGCGGCTAATCGGCCCTAACTCTTATATATATATATATATATATATATATATATATATATATATATATATATATATATATTTAATATATTAATAGGTTATTGTATTTATTTGGATTATAGCCCATATAAATCATAAAGTCGCTAGAATCATCGAAGCGATTACGATGTTGATTTTCGTGCCTTAGCCGAATTATTTATATACTGCTACTTACTTAATAAACTCCTCAGTCAAAAAATTACTTACAACAGTTTTGTTTAACCCATTATTACTTATTTTGTCTCCTTTTTATATGAGCCTTATTGAATACAACACACATCATATGCCGTTTACGTTGTTTCCAGTCTTTGAAATAATTTTTATAGGCGCTTTTCGCTTTTAACACAATCAATTTTGTTTATTACAGTCTATTGACTTGAATATATAACACGGAGTGGCAATTTAGTAAATAAAATGTCTACCTGAGCCAACTGTTTTATAGGGTGGATGATGGAGCAATGATATTTATGGCGTTTTGGCCTTATATTAGGTTTTACATCTGCTTTATGCGATGTTGTATAATTTTTTTGAAAAATTCACGACTTGTTCTATAGTTTTTCCTATTTCTGACGTTTTTCTTACAAAAACTTTTCAATACGGCAAATTTCTGAGTGAATTTAACAAAGTTTTTTTTTCACTTATCGCTTATTTTTCCCCTCCATTCTACCGACATTTGACTTGTTTGCACATAAAATTCGTAGGCCTATATTTCATTCCCAGTTTTGATGCGCTCCATAAACGTGGAATCAGAATTGACACGATATATTATGTGCAAAAAGGTTTGTTTTTGATAAAAATAAATTGAAAAAAAAATAATCAAGGAATTCAGCTTTTTCAGAACAAGTCGAGTGGTGAAGCAACTCATCAATTAATTCACCAAATTCGATATGATTTTTTTATTCGATTGTAATAGATCTCAAGGTCACTTACCAACTCTATTAAGCTAGAACAGAGATTATTGAGCAAATTTTTCATCATTTTTTCGATATTTTCTTCTGTTGTAAAGGTTGAGGGTTGTTCGGAACGAGGGTTGACTTCGACGATCTCTTGGCCCTCCTTGAACGCTTTTTATCACTCGTAGGCCTATGTTTTCATTAAAACTGATTTAAAATAACCTTTTTCCTTAATTTTCGACTCTGCAACACCTAATTTAATGCAGACTTTTTGATTAAAAAATTAATTCTTTGTAAAAATGAAGAGCCGTTGTTCCTCATGGGATAAATGAAACATCGTTAAAAATACTTCGAGGACATGTGAAATCTGCCAACACTAATTGCTCGATAACCTTTTCAGAAATTAGAGGAGGCATGTGCCCAGTGGTGGGACGTATAAATTCTGTGACATTAGCTTTTAAAATTTTAGGGGCCGGGTCGAGCGGCAGCTTAGCAGCTCTATGCTGCTGTGTTTCATATGGTGAGTGCAGAGAACCGGAGACCTTATATACAGGTAACGAGGCATTCTTAATCGAGAATAAATGGAGATTTCTATGGTGCACAGTATCCATTCATTATCAGGTGGACTGTGTGCTCGTTTGTCACCCTATACTATAAAAAATCCATCTTATTCCTTAGGGGATGACAATGCATCTGCATTTTGAGTCTTAATCAAGGATAGATGTAATTGTCTGTGGGCCCCAGCATTCTTCTACTATCAGGTAAAATATGTGTTCGTTCGTCACCCTATTTTATTTTAAAAAAAATCTAAAAATCGTGACGCGATTAGATCTACTGTTTCTATTTTATTTTATAAATATAATATACATTACGCGTCCATTTTAAATATAGTTATTAAAGCCAGTACTATCACTTTTCTGCTTCTTTTTGATAGGAGTGATGTATATTTCTAAGGTTACGAGGTTGATATATATATATATATATATATATATATATATATATATATATATATATTTGAATATATTCATCTTATTTATTATCACGTAAACAGTATATACTATCATATTACTTAACGTCTCGCACCTTAGACATTGCTTTCCGTTCTTGGTCTGAATATTTTACATTTGGAAAATACGATATGGTTACATAATATTGCCTCGCGGCACTCATGGGAAGATATCTAGTCACGTCTCTATTACATTCTCTTGAGCGTTTTAGTGTTATTTTTAACGCGAAAGAGATAAAAATAACTTATTTAAACTGCTATGAACATGTAATAAAGTAGGTACCTAAAATATAGTTCAAAGCTATAAGAATTCAACAAGTTATGGTGAAGCAATTCTTTACCTTTTCATTGAATTTAATTACCTACTTTGACGTTGATTTAGGACAAATTTAAAATATTTTAAAAACTTACACAACATAGATTTGTTTTACAATATCAAATAGGTTTTTCGATTTGATATTATTATCCTTGTCTACTTTAAAGTTGTTAGTAAGTAAGAGGGTGTATTTAATGTTGTTAACAAAACAATAAAAGACAGATAATTAACTTATTATGGATATTGAAATAACTTGAAATTAAATTGATAAATAATGTGTGTATTATAATATAATTAGTGTTTGAAACAACCTTTCTAGTAAATATATATATGGAAATTTTGTGTTAAAATTATTGAATTTGTCTACTGTCCGAAGGAAGAGATTTCTCTTGATTACTCAGCAATAATAAATGATACTAATTCTGTAAAAAATATTTTAAGTGCCCTTCAATATTTTAAATACTAGTTTTTTTAATATTATTTAATGTAAATAATATGGTAGTTTTCACTATATCCATAGTATTTTATTATAAGTTGTTTGTTAACCATTACGAACTCATTTTTGTAATTAGTAGTAGACCTACATTTCTTTGGAATGTGCCGTGTTGTAGTTGTAGACTTAAGAGAATCCTATACCTTCCGTAGGTGTCGTAAGATTCGACAGAAGAAAATGAAATAGAAGAGCAGTAGTACCTATCTGACAAAAGTTCCAAATATTTAAAAAAAACTGGGCTAACCTGTCAGTTAAACATGGCAACTATGATAAATAGTTGTGTTGTTCAGTTTTGATATGCTGTAATTAGTAAATGATTAAAAATTATCTTGCATTTTGCGGAGTTTATACTAAATCTATGCATTTTGACCTTGCTCCTGATAGTCGTCTCGACACTCTCGGGACGGAATTGGGCCATGGGGTCTTTTACGCCACTACCGAGAGCATAATACATAAAAATATGTAGTGTAGCCGATAGAAGTTTTCGTAAAAGCGTTTTTGTTTTCGTAAAAGATGAGACTATTGAGATAATTTTATTTTTAGATTAAAATATTAATTGATTGCTGCTAATGAAGCTAATGAAGTTTATGATTATTAAATAATCATAAACTTCACGTAATCCTTATAATTGCGGCATTAATGTAACATTATTAACGTCATTCAAGTATGTGTTATACAGATTTAAAACACAAGCATGCCTGTGAAGTTTCACAGTTAGTTTTGCGTCATTGTCACGTAAAGATGTGGTTTGAAAATAAAGTAGTCGTAGTAACAGGTGCAAGCGCTGGTATTGGTGCTGAAACCGCCATTTTGTTTGCTCAACAGTCAGCTAAGGTTGTCCTAGTTGGAAGAAATGAAGACGCTTTAATCAGTGTGGCAAAAAAATGCGGAGAGGCTAAAGGCATTATACCACTTATTGTCAAAGCAGAATTAATTAACGATAATGATGTGAAAAATATTGTTACAAAGACTATTGAAAAGTTTGTTCATATTGATGTTCTCGTGAATAATGCTGGTGTTGGGTTTAAGGGTGGTATTCGTGATAGTGTTGATTTGTATGATCGTGTCATAGCCACTAATGTTCGTGCAGTATATCTGTTAACCAGTCTTGCTACTCCATATCTTGTACAATCTAAAGGAAATGTTGTCAACGTTTCTAGTATTGCAGCCTTTAAACCAATCAAAGATATTGAATTCTTACAGTATTGTATGTCAAAAGCTGCCCTAGATCAATTCACAAGATGCGTTGCTTTGGAACTGGGCAGAGAAGGTGTTCGTGTTAATTCCGTTAGTCCTGGTTGTACATAGACTAGTTTTCTGGAATCTGCTGGTTTTACTAAGGAAAAAGTAGAAGAATTGTACAAATACCGTGTTACATGTATTCCACTTCGAAAAGTAGTGAAAATTAAAGAGGTTGCAGACCTTATTCTATACCTTGCAAGCGACCGCGCCTCTAGTATCACAGGTGCTATTTTTGTTATTGATTATGGCGAAAACTTAATGTAAAATAATCTTTTTTAATGCATTTGAAATACGAAATTCAATGAAATATAGTGTACAGAGATAGATTCATAATAAAATTGATTTTAAACACAATTACGATTTAAGCTCCTGTACTTTTTTTTGATATTCATATTTTATGGTGAAATAAAATTATCTGTGTTACACAACTGACATTTTATTGATTGATTATTAATGGTGTTTTAGCTTATTAATTAAAATATTAAAAACAACATGAACAACAACGTGAGAATGAAAGAGCAAGGAAAATAGGAACACTCATAAACAGCTCAGTCTGAGCTTTAGTAATATAGTTCTTGCACCCGGGCCGTAACTCTTTATTTTGCTTGCTGCAAATATATCCGTGTACTAAATAAACAACAATGTACGATGTAATCACACAAACAGTCTGCCCAAGAATATTGAAATGGACGAGACATTACAGACACCATGTTAACATACGCGTAATATAAATCCACCATAAACTGCACATGGCTGTAATTTTCACGCAATAGTGTTTCGGTTTGAATTTTGTCGTTTATAATGGGTAAAAAACCAAATAAGGATTAAATTCAATTTTAAGTCAAAAAAACCATTACCTATTATTGTTGGAACTATCGGAGGTCTTTAGTAAATGTTATATTTTCCAATAGATAACCGTATAACCATTACGATTACGCTAATCACAAAATAACAGTACTAGTAGAAATGGGTGTTTTTCTCAAACATAATTAAAAACGCCAGTAGTTCTGTTTCTCATTATAAAAAGTTAATTAAATCGTAATATAATAAAAAGGAATATGTTAAATATCTAAGTATCGATGATTTTTAAACAACTTGTTTCGATTATGTGAATTTGTATTAAAACTTACACTTGCACTTACATCTTATATTCAAGAAAATAAGAGCACTTTTAGCAAGATAGTATTACGAGTACCTATTACAACTAAATTTTATATGATTTCAAAGAATCACATAAATAGAATTGAGTTTTTCCTTCTCCTTTTCCTTCATCTGGTCATACTTCGAAGTTGTATATTTAAAGTTACAGCTTAAAAATGTCATATATGTTATAGGACTCCCTTATTTCTGAAAGGTTCATGGATAGTATTGGCCGAATTTACCTTCCCCAAACAAGCAGAGATATTTTTCTTGACTGCCGAAGACGAGGCAAATAACGACTTCATTTAAAGTAGTGATCCTTGCAATTTTTATTCAACAATATTTTTTTTGAATTGCAATCAACAATTTGATAGGTGACAGTGGAGAATAAACCCAAGTTATCAGCGTACCATGAAATTTGCACTTAATCCCTGGGATACCTTGGCTCTTACTATTAGAGATTAATGACCAAGAGGTGGACTATAAAAATCCTTGATTTTTTTATCAGAAAACACAGAAGTTTCTTTTTTTGTTTAAGTTTATGAATTAAAATATAAGATATACTGCTACTGCCAAAAATATTTAAAAGTATATTGAAGAAGTACCGGTATTTTTTTTAAATAAAAACAACCATAATAATACTACCAGTCTTAATATTATTGTTTTTTCATCGTGCTATCTGTACTTTATAAATAAATCATTATAAAAACCAGTCCTTCGCAATGAGCAAGTTCGACCTCGTTTCACAATCTACTTAGTCGACTCCTGACAGTTGTTATTGTGATATCGCCGGCGATGGACTTCAATAACAAAGTTGTCATAATAACGGGCGCCAGCGCCGGTATTGGGTCTGCTGCAGCTGTTTTATTTGCAAAACAATCTGCTAAAGTTGTATTAGTTGGAAGAAATGAGACGACGTTATTAAATATTGCAAAGAAATGCGAGGATGCTAAAGGTTTTGAGCCCCTAACTGTCAGAGCAGAACTTACTGACGACGAAGACGTGAAAAAAATTGTTGATAAAACGATTGAACACTTTGGGCGTATAGATGTCCTTGTGAATAATGCCGGTGTTGGATTTTGTGGCGGTATTCGCGATGGTGTAGAGATATTTGACCGCGCTATGGCAACTAATGTTCGTCCTGCCTATTTGTTGACTAGTCTAGCGACGCCTTACCTCGTCCAATCTAAGGGGAATATCGTTAACGTGTCAAGTGTTGCCGCCTTTAAACCTATAAAAGATGTAGCATTTTTGCCATATTGTATGTCAAAAGCCGCACTCGATCAGTTCACTAGATGTGTTGCGTTAGAATTAGGACGAGATGGTGTTCGAGTAAACTCAGTGAATCCAGGGGGTACAAAGACCAGTTTTGTAGAAACTGCAGGATTTAGTAAACAACAAATGGAAAAATTATATGAAACACGAGAACAAAATTATCCGCTTCGTAAAATGGCGAAAAGTGAAGAGGTCGCTGACCTAATTTTATATCTTGCAAGTGATCGCGCTGCTAGTATAACAGGCGCTACTTTCGTGATAGATAACGGTGAAATGTTAATGTAAATATTACTCTTGGTTGTAAATTATCGGCCTGACCATCATATTGTGAAATTTAATTTAAATATTTTATAGGGCATAATACTGAATTATATATAATTTGTATTTCATATAATTAATATGTAGTTTTCAATAAATACAATTTTTAAATTAACCAGTTCTTTGCTAATGGTCTTTGTTTTTGCGTGCGTTAAAGCAAATTTTATGTAATGTTGTTGATATTGAATGTAAAAATAATTGTGATATATGTTGTTATATATCTTATTTCAAGTCTATATCTAATGATTTACATGATGATAAACCTATAAAATATGGAAATTTTTAATGTGTAGAATTTTTTTGTTGGGTAAGTTAATAATATCCCTGTGCATTTACATTGTGTGCTGCATACTAACCATGGTTGCTACCTTGCCAGTACCGAGTGCGACGACAAATCCCATTAAATCCGGAAAATATCAACTACGCCTAGATATAGTACCGCAATAGTATGCACAATATCATAAAAGCAGTAATCATTTCAGACCCAGATACTACGAGGTCACATGTTTTATAAAACACTAGCTTGCCAGGCAGACGTTGTTCGACCCTTTGTCATGTCCGATTAAAAATCTTTAAATTCGCAAAAACAATGGTGGGTTTGATTAAAATCAGTCAAGTAGTTTAGGAGTCCATCGCGGACAAACAAAGTGACGCGTAATTTATATATATTAAGATTAAACTCGACATGGAAACATTATAAAGGTTTCATATTCAAGCTTAGTTTCCCAAACATTTTATTTGTATGATAAATACCTTGTTAAAACGTACAAAAATGAAAACACAATGAAATCTTTATAGAGAATATCTATACTTAATGTCTTTTTGAATATAAACTCTTAAGTAAAAAATTGAAAATAATTAAAATATATATTTTTTTCACCTATACAAAACCATATTGTTCAACAATAGTAATATTACGTGAATCATGTACTATTAGACTGTCGTCTAAATAGTAACTAATATACCATTATATAAGTTTTATTGACGACTGCCTCGTTGGCCTAGTGGTTGTAATATTGCGACTGCTGATTATGAGGTGCAATTATTGAGTTTTTCTGTCAAGAATTCTCAGTAGCTGCACGGAGTCATGAAGTTGACGGTGTCTGACCCCCGTGCCACGGAAAGCACGTAAAGCCGTTGTTCCTGCGCCTGATCTCTCTTCGGTCGTGTCGGTTTACCGTCCCATCGGATTATGAGAGTGAGGGAATATGGAGTGCACCTGTGCTTGCGCATACACTTGGGCACTATAATCCTATCCTGCGCCGATGGCTAGCCTCCGTTGAGGCTGGCCGCCGTGACCGAAATTCGGTCTGGAGGACATTATTGTTATTGACGACTATTAAAGTTGGACCCCCATAGTATGATTTACTCCTGTAAAGTGTTTCGTCTCTTTTCACATACATAAATTGCACTTGGAAAAGCATTTAGATCCGGGACAATTATTTGTAGGCCGTAATATAGATATTTAATCTGTGCGTGGTTTATAGCCGTGTCCTTGCAGTAGCGCAACCAAACGCTTAGCGACTGGGCTATCTAGCCTTTTACTTATCTAGTAGTTACTGTAGTACAAATCTTCACTGTACGTGAAAAATACACTATAAACAGTATACGATAAGAGAGCAATGCATTATTCTTTAGAACATCACTATACAAACAGGGTTTTTTAAATACTGATTTTTAAACCAATGGTTACATTACATGAAAGGTTTGCTATACTAACGGCTTGGCTTGGCAAGCGGGCTGATAAGCGCAGATATATATATATATATATATATATATATATATATATATATATAGCTCTTTGACGATTCAGTAGAACGTGGCTAAAAACTCAGATTTGACGCTGCAGGTAGCGATTACACAGAAATAGGTATGTACGGCCTACAAATAATTGTTTCGGGTGTAGATAATTATCCTTGAGCAATATATGAATGTAAAGTACCCCCACAGTACATCAGAAAATCCCAATGTGGAGAAAACCATTTTTAAAAAGGAATTAACCCTTGCGCTGGTATTAGTGATTCCCATCACCTATTTCTGGGATTGAGTTTCAACATTTTGAAATGGATATTCGTATTAAGAACCCCACTTATCTTGCAGGATTTATGATATTTTTATTTTTTGTGGATGGATAAGTTGAACGTTAGGATTAGAAAAGCTAGAATTTAATAACTTTGGCACTTAAAGACGAAATTGTTTGCGGCTCTACGTATAGGTCTTTTTGTTTTTTTCTATAAAGCAAAACCATGTTCAAACGTATGAAATGTGTATTTAGATTGTATTTAGATATATTGTTAAATAATCTCCATTGTTTACGTGGTATGTGGAGCGTG